AACCTCGATATGGCTTTCTTACGCAAAAAAAAAAGAGGTGCCGAATCGCCGAAAAATCGCACTGGAATAATCGGAATCAAAATCAATGGTAAACGTTTATCGTTGATTTTGATTCAGGTTCAGTTATTCTTTGCTGTGAAATCGAACGGACGTTGCTTATCATTTATACACGATTATAATCCTCTTGTAATGTCGAACCTTTAAACGATTGAAACCGTTATATTAGTTTCTGTACTGGGTTTACATCAATTTGGGAGCAAAAATCCGTTCAAATTAATTGCAGGTTAGAAAGTAGTTTCGACAAATCCAACATTAATTGATTTAAATGAAATACATCTTGTAAATTGATCTGAATTAGTTTGATAATAGCAATTACTTCAAATTTATTTTGTAGTCAGTAATCTTAGCTACTTTGAGCGCATCAATTAATTAAAATGAATTTCAATTTCAGAATTCATTTAAATTCATTTTATAAAACGGATCTGCATTGATTCGAAATATAAATTAATTTCAAGAGTTACACAACCAAAATAAGCATTATTCCAGTGCGATTTTTCCGCATCAGGAGACGGTAGCTCCGATGTCGATCGAGTATACATTCAGCTAATAACGGAATACAAACATCTCGTGGCAATATTTGTTTTCAGAAGAAGATTTTAATATCTGGCCAACACCAACGTTTTCGTAAACTAGGGTTTTCCGCCTGTACTCACCTATTATTAAAACTTTGCAATTCACTCAACAGTTTTAAATGCTGTTCAAAAGAACTCGACAAGAAAAGCTTTATGAAAAAAACAGCTCGACAAAAAAAGCCCCGGTTTTCTGAAAGGCTTTCTAATAAAAATACCATTTTCTAGTTTCATAATCACGTCTAGCGGACAGAATTAACTCTATCCTGAATAGATTCTTTCTGATGTTTTCTGAGTGAATTGTGAATTTTCTAATAATAGATGAAAACAAGCGGAAAAGCATAGTTTTCGAAAAACGTGGTTTTCGCTAGATTTTAAAATGTTTTTTCTAAAAACAAATATTGCTACGAGATTCAACATGGTCGAAACTTATATTCCCATGCATTGCTGAGATTCATTGACTGAAATGAAGGGCTCCCAGGAAAACCTCGCTCGTAATCATGAGAGATGAAGCGACACTTTAGTCTATCTATTTATGAAAAAATAATATATTGCTAAGTCAAATTTTCCAGTTAGGAAACAGTTTTCCAGAGATCTCCTTGAAAATCGATTTTTGAAAAAAGTTTCTCGATATTTTCTGGTTACAGACAGAGATGCAACCGGGCCGGGTGCCCGTTTCCGGTCCGGTCGAGACTTATTAACCGGCCGGTCCAACCCGTTTCGGTCAAGCGACTGAACCGGGTTCGGCCGGCTTGGCTTATAAGTAGCAAATATGACAGAAAAAGCATATTTAGTATCATTTTGTACTGCTCAAAGAAAGATAATAATTTCATTCATTATTCTCTGTTTGAAATATTCACACTTTTCCGGTCTATACGTAATGCGCGAACGTGTTGACTAATGTCTGTTATATACGGCGAGGGTGAAAAGCAAATTCTTTATTCCAAATGAGAATAAATGCAAAAGGCTCACTGTTCTATCTCGAAACAGTTCTTGAGAAATGCGAGTACCGGTCGCTTACCGAGCAAACATTTTAGACAAATGGTAGGTCAACTCGCCGGTGGTCACATGGTCGCCGGTGACCGGTCCGTACCGATCGTGATGTTATTTACCGGTTGCATCTCTGGTTACAGAAACATGCCCTCAAGTCTTGGCTATCGAACAGCGAAAACCGGGAGCCTTCATCTACTTTCGTTCAGCAGTTATTCAAAGAATGGCCACCGATATCATATATAATAATCCTGTAGTCAAAAGGTTAATTAGATTTCGACGTATCGATGGATACTCAATTGTATCGACTACTTTAGCAATTTTAGTTGGGTATGTCTGCTGAAAGCAAAATCGGCCGCCGAAGTGGCAGAAAATTTCTGTCATTTGTTTACCTTTGGCCCTCCACGTCTATTACGCAGTGGTAACTGTTCAGAGTTTGTCGTTGCTGTAATTACAGAATTGAAAACGCTATTTATAACCATGACATTCATTCAAGGGCTACCGAGGCATCTTTAATCTCAGCCTGCATAGGGAGAGCCGATGGTGTGTAAAGAAAATGATGCGATTGGACAGTTGGATCCACCCTAGTCAGTATTTTCTACTCATTCTACGATAGTTAGTCAATATTTTTTCTACAGAGAATTTTATTTGCAAGGCGAATAAAGACATATCAGTAAAGTTGAGTGATTTCTTGTTCTGAAAATTAGACAAAATAATATATTCTGGATCGAAAAGTATAACTTACACAATTGTTCTTCAAAACTTCACTATGGTCAATTGCAAGCTGCCAGTGAACTTATCAGTAGGGTCCCCTAACAGCAGTAGAGTGTCGATCAGACTCCCATTTGGCCTGCTACTAATATTTTAGTTTTTAAGTTAGCCTTATTCAATATATGATTAGATAATTGTTTTAAGGTAAGCTGATTAAGAATTAATTAGTAAGCAAAAAGCATGAAATAATATGCAGACAAATAACGATGAGATTTTAAATGTAATACATATTTCTTATTCAATTATAGCTCTTTCTGTTGCACATCGACCAAAGTTTTCTGGTGAGTACATTTCTTCAGCTTTAGCTGGTGGAATAACAAATATTCCAGCACATGTTGCACGCATTATATAACTCCATTCATACACACCAGGCCATAATAACGATCGAAATGCTTCGACACGCTCATCTCTTAAATTTTCATGTTCAGGCCAACCAATGGTTGAATAAGGTCGACATCCATAATAATAATCAGCTCCTTTTGATCTTGTTACCGATGACTGTGTATCACCTGTCAATGTACCTTTTAATT